CTTCGTACTAAGCCACATCCCCAGACCTTTCTGGTTTTTCTTTGAGACAAGGTTTCATTTAAGTTGCTCAGACTGGGCTTGACTTGTGATCCTCCTGCCTCAGCCTCCCAGGGTACTGGGGTTATAGGCCTGCACCATCCCGTGCCTGGCTTTCCTCTGATTTTTATGGGATAGGGTCGTTCAGGTTTACGGCCTTGGTTGGCACTGGGTGAGTCCCAATTAAGCATCTACACATGTGGCCCACGACCCACACCCATGTAGTGGTTACCTATCTGTTGGTTCAGGTGACTGGCTTAGTGACCCTCATCCACACCGCAAGTGCCAGTCTGTGCTGGTCAGGGCCTGTCTAGGGGCTAGGAGTCTGGAGCTGAGTGAAGGAGGCCTGTTTGCTCTGAAAGGCCTATGTGTAGTGGTCTTCCTTATTTACAGATCAAACAAACAAACAAACAAACACTCAACAAGGTAAAGATAATTTGCTCAATGGAGAAATGATCAACTCTAAGCAGAGGTGTGATTAATATAAAGGCTTTCAGATAACTTCCTAGTTTTTGCCTTGCAGAAAGAGCAACTTTTCTGTTTTCCAGTGAGTGAACCCATTTATCTTCTTTATTCTAAAAAGAATTGGTATAACCTGATAAAAGGATAAAGAGAATAATTTTCCCCAGTAAATGTGAGCATTAAGTTTGGATATCAAAGTGGGTTTGGGCCTAATATGCAGAATTCTTATCTGGAGGCCTTTCGTGCTTTCCTAGCAGTTGCCATTCCTTTGGCCTTGAGCGATTTTGTAGTTTATTAAAAACAAAAATAAAGAAGGAACATAAAAGAGCTTTGGTTTAGTGAGATCAGTGGTTGTTCCGCCGGGAGCGGGAGTGGTTTTCCTCCAGAGGGCTGGCTGGAGACAGTTTGGGTCATCACGGTGGGGAGGGTCCTTCAGGCAGCGAGTCCAGGCCGAGGCTGCCGCTGTACCTCCTTTACCTGCGGCACCATCGCCTCCGTCTGAGCAGTGCAGCCTGGACATCACCAGGCTGAGGTCAGAAACCCCCCAGCACCCGAAACTTAAGAGAAACACTTCATGGAATCCAGTGTGTGGAATATTTTTCTGAGCAGGACCTGGACACATTCACAGGGGCCGTCATTGATGTCTTGCTGCCAGGTGACTTGAGCCTGCTTCACCAGTTTATCACTTTTTTTTTAGTAAAAGGCGAATCCAAGACCCATTCCTACCACCAGGGGTACGCGGCGCCCGGCGGGAGTCATGCGTGCACCGCTTGTGGTTAAGGCCAGCAGGACTGTGTTAAACTAGAGGGAAACTGTGATTATCAGCCATTGCTAAAAGTGCTCTTAGTAACTACTGGACGGCAAGGAAAGAATCTTGCTTATAGGCAGAACTACACAAAAATAACACATCTGATTGCTGGAATGAAAATGTAAATTTCCCTGAATACCAAAAATGTGTTTTAACAAATGGGAAGGTAAATAAAGTAAGTCATATAGTGAAAGAGTACTACTTGTGTTAAATAATGTACAATCAGATAACCGTAAACATATATACCAATTGGGAAGGGACAAAATAGCATAAAGGAAGTGAAATGCTCACAAGCAAGACTTACACTTCTTTGTTTCATGCATTTGATTTATGCGATTATAAAGCAGTTGCATTTTCAGTTTTGAAACCACATTTTGTAATGATTAATATCAATTAATATCACAACAAAATGTTAATAAAGAATAATCCCCAGTTCTTCAGGTAAGAAAGGAATAACGCCTCGAATCTAGCCGGTGGCCCCGGCATGTCAGGAGCAAGTATTTCGCGGACCTTTGGAACTCGGTCACCTGAACGTGAACTCCGTGGGGAGGTGCGTGCAGCTACCACGCGAACAGGCCTCAGCCGCTCTGCGGGAGGTCGGCACTGTGGCGCTCAGATTGCTGGCAAGACGTGGGAGGAAGCCCTGAGGGATTCTATCATAGGTTGAATATCCCTTACCTGAAGGGCTTGAGACCAGAGGTCCTTTGGATTTAGATTTGTCTTTTGTTTTTTTCGGTATTTGAGGATGTTTGTATATGGGTAATGAGATATCTCAGAGTTGGAAGGAACCTATGTCTGAACACAAAATTCACTTAACTTCATATACACGTTATGCACAAAGCTTGGATTTTATACAATATTTTTAGTGCATTTACCCTTTCCCCTCCCTTTTCTGTGTTCCTGGATATTGAACCTAGGGCCTTTGCACTGAACTATATACTGTCAGCCTTTTTAAAAAACAAACATTTTATTTTGAGATAGAGTCTTCCTACACTGGTAACTTGTCCAGACTGGGTTTGAATCTGTGATTCTCCTGCCTCAGGCTTGTGGAACGCTGGGTGTCACCACACCGAGCTTTTGTGCAACTGCCTTGTACTGTGATTCATCATAAGAAGTCAGGTATGGAAGGTTACACTTTCAGGATCAGGTCAACACTTGGAAACTTCAGATTTTGGACCATTTGGATTTTCAGATTAAGTGTACTCAGCTGTATTCTGATTCTGTCATTCCTGATTTCATGGTTCATTAGGATTCTTAGAATAGTAGAAAAGGGATACAGATTTAAGTTAGAGAAGAATAAACTAAAACTCGGAGGTTCCCTATTTAGACAGGACATATGTTAATGAATCTATGGTGTGTTTTACTTATTAAAAACAGAAAAAAGAAGCAAAGTGAAGGGAAGAGAAATAATCCCTCCTGTGTTGAGTAAAGAGTTTGAGAATTCAGCCAGACATGGTGATCACACCAGTAATCCCAGGACTCTGGGGGTGGGAGGCGTGAAGAGATCAAATTCAAACATTGCCAGTGCAACCTAGTGAGATCCTGCTCCACACAAAAAATGTTTAAAACACTGGGATGTAGCCCAGCATGGAAGTCTCGTGTTCAATCCCAAGCAGCACCAAAGACGCACAATTAGCTCTAGAATTCAGAAGCAACCCACTTAACTAAGCTTTTCTCACGTCCTTTCTTTCCTCTGGAAGTAGCATTTTCCACTAACCAAGGTTAGGTCTTCTTTCAGAAATGGCTGAATTTGGGTCTGGACAGGAAATACATACACCAGAGGATACTGAATCACCCTCTTATACCAGAAAACAAAGAAGGGACAGGTAATTACCAGGATGGTATCAAAGCCCTCACAGCCAGCCTGGAGACCTCTGCTGGCCCAAGACGGGAGAATTAGAGTATCAGTAATAGCAAGGGAGTCAGGAGCTCATGGTGATAATAGACAGGAAAGCGAGCACAGGACAACAGAGAAACAAATTGTCTGTTCTACACTGAGTGGTGTCGGTTAGTCACTAAATGCCAGTAGCCAAGATGGTAGTTTTCTTTTATGCAAGTGTTCCAGCCAAGACGAAGAAGCAGGGGTGAGACGGTGGCCCTAGGTATGCAGCGGTCATTGCTGTGGTCTGAATGTGTCCCCCCAAGCCTGTGGGTCGGAAGTGACCCCGGTGCAGCAGGTGGGGAGGCGGGGCCTGGTGGGAGGTTCTGAAGTCATGGGGGTCCCCAAAAGTACCTGCGGGAGTGGGATTGCTGTGTCTCCCCCTGCTTCTCTGTGGGCAAGAAGGACCTCATCAGGTGCTCGCCTCTTGAGCTGGGATTTCCCAGCCTCAGAACTGGGAGAGAATCCTGTGCTGCCCTTTATAAATTTGAGGTATCGTGAATAGCAGCACAAACTGGTCTAACCCATCCTCACTCTTAACATGAAAAATAGTGATAAGTGCGGGAAGTGCGGCTGACCTTGTATGCCGGCTGATGGACGAGCACACACTTCCTCTGATTTATTCGTAGCACAAGATTATCAAGAAGCGATCAGGCGTCAGTCCAGTTGCCAATTTACAGGAAATGCAGGGCGGTGGAGAGCATGTTCACACCTGGGAGTGCAGCCAGCTAGGCCGGGAGACGTAGTGAAGCCCATGACCAAGCTCTGCAGTGGATCGGCGGCAAGCAGGAGAGGAGGTGGAGGGAAACTTATGGGTTCATAGGGACTTTAAAGACATAGAATATCCAGTTATAATGTGTGGATCTCACATTAAATCCTGATTAAAAGGAGGCTTTAGAAAAATGAACGGTATTTCCATGCTGATTGGAGAGTTGAACACTAATCGAGTATTTGGTATTAAGGAATTATTTCTTTAGGGGTAGTAATACTGAAATTATTATTAAAGAGCCTTTACCTTTTACTAATACATAATTGAATGGTTTAGCGTTGAAATGATATATCTGGGATTTGCTTTAGGTAAGAGAGGCTAGGCTACTGGGAGCAACTTACATATGGATTCGGTAAACTATTCCACTTTTGAATGTCTTTAGAATTATCCTTAATATAGATATTTTTAAAAGGAAACATTCATATGTCACTTCTTTAATACTTTGAAAGATTACTTGTTACTTTTTCTCCTTAACCATTTTTTTCTCCCTTTTTCCCCACCACACCCAATTTTAACCCAATATACTTTTAGGCATGAATGTCTTTTTTCAGTTGTCTCTTTTCATATTCCTCTGCAAAAAGGAAAATGTATTAAAAGTTAATTCAAGTTATATGTAAAATTTGACTCTATTGTGGGATCTTAATCATTAGTATATAATTGATGAAAATGCCATCACTATACAAGTACATCGTACATTTTGCTTTCTTAGAGTGGAAATAGATGAAGACTACCCGCGTGAGACCCTGACGTAGCTATTTGTCAGGAGCCCGCTGCCCACGGGAGCCCACGTCCATCGCTGTGGTCAGAAGAGAGGGCTCGAGGGTGAAAGAAAAGCTGTGGGTGGGAAGCTGCCTTGTCCCCTGTAAATAGGGTGCTGCGTGACTCCTTGGGCTTTGGCTGGCATTTCCCAAATGGCAAGCAGGGTGAAAATGTTTGTGGTAGACGGAGATTGGTCACAGCAGTGTCACCCCATGCTTCTAGCAGTGAGGGGCCCTTCTTCAGCAACTTGGAGCTGATACATCAGAGGGCGCATGGGTGACTTAGTGTCCTTTCTTTTTGCTACAAGGAATGAACTTAGAAGCTAGTTGGTCGGTGAAAGGATTGGCTGCTCACATTCTCATTTTCCAGGTCATTGTAGCAAAATGTCCTTATTGCTCTGGAAGTTTTTATGTGTAGGTAAACAGTGCATTAATTTTAAGAGGCAGGATGGGCGATGTCTCCTTGGTTGTTTTAAATTTTAAATGTGCGTAGGGTAAGAGCTGTTCAGAGCTTCATGGTTTTCTTGGTCCCTAGGCACTTTGACTTTCATAGGTGTCTCCTACTTTAATGAAGCCAGAAGGAAAAGTATGTTTGATATACTTTTAAATGCTGTATTTCAGTATCTTTTCTGCTTTATGCCAAACTTAATAGATTTGCATGGGCCCTAAATGGATCCTTTTCTGTTGGAATGTGTGAGAAAATGAAAACATTTCTTTTGATTTTATACTTCACTTGTTTCTTCCAATTTTAATAGCAGTGGAAACCTTGTGGACCCTGAGCATGTGGGCTCTGGGCAGAGCCCACGGCGCTGACAGTGGGGAGAAGGAGACAGGGGAAGCAGAAGCTGCTTGCACTGGGTCCTTTGCGTTCAGCCCCTTCCCAGGTAGGTGTACAGGGCCCTTGTGATGCGCATTTAACCCTGCGATATCAGAACCAAGTCCAGGCCTGCTGCTCCCAGCACAGACAGCACCTGCGCAACCTGAGTCACCTGGGCGAGCTGCTGTACTCGGGGATCTGTGTCTTTCTAAATTCTCAAGCATTTGTTTTGTAATGAAAGTCAGACATTTGGAGCTAGGCAGTCTGGGTTCAGAAATGTGGCAGGATTCCCGTTCGTCCCACCATTCTAATTTTTTAATATCTTCTGCAGAGCATGGGGTGGAGATTCAGGTTTCTTTGGAAATGCCATATGCCCTATCAATGATAAAGTTTCTGGAAATAGTAGTGCTATAAAAATGTTGGCAAAGTCTCCGATTTATTACATTTCATTTTAGCAGCTTTTACTACTTTTAACAATTTTAACCTTTTCAAAGCTATGTTAATTTTTATCCACTATTTAGAAACTTTTCCCAAAGGCGTTTACTGTGTAAGATCTCACTAACTAACTTTTAGAACTTAGATATCAGTGTGATAGAAGGGATTGCATCATGTGGCTAATATAACTTTCCCCGTTTTGATCTCTTAATTTTTTTCTTACAAATATACGGGTAGATTTCATCTTCTAGAAAAAGTGGGATCTTGGCTGAAGAGACTGTTCTCTTAACATTAACTGGTATTAGGACATTATTTTTTGATCTGATTTAAATATATATTGAAAATAGAAACCTTCCTATTGTATTTCCTTTTAAGTTGTGAAGTGGAGCATGGCATACAAATGGTATTCTCAGTCTTTCAAATAATTACCTTCTTACTGTGCAGGTTCTGTTCAGAGGATAAAACCCATCCAGTTGTAGATGCAATCTGATTATTACATGTTGACAAGGTCATATATCTATTAATTGGATTGGAGATGGGATACAAAATTGCTGTAATTATTGTAATTTTCTAGCTAATTGCAGGGTTGGTGGTGAATATTTTACTTCTGCAAAATGAAAAACAGTATTTCTCTCCTCCCCCCTTCCTCTCCCCACCCCCACTCTGAGTGTCCCGGTGCTCATTGGCAGGGCTCTGTGGAATCAGGCAAAGGCAGGAGCTGAGTAGTGCTCTGAGTTCCTCTTTGTTCTGGTTGCCATGTTACCTCCATTGTTTATTTATAGATTGGAGCGCTTTCCTTTCAGACCTGTACAAAGGTTGGATGGGTCAGATTCTCCTCCCCCCTTCCTCTCCCCACCCCCACTCTGAGTGTCCCGGTGCTCATTGGCAGGGCTCTGTGGAATCAGGCAAAGGCAGGAGCTGAGTAGTGCTCTGAGTTCCTCTTTGTTCTGGTTGCCATGTTACCTCCATTGTTTATTTATAGATTGGAGCGCTTTCCTTTCAGACCTGTACAAAGGTTGGATGGGTCAGATCCAATGAGAAGAGGAATCCTCTGCGTTCTTGTCACCTGTGCCCCACTTTGAATACTCCCCAAAATGAGCACCTGAAAAAATAAATTCAATTAGTTTACGTGTTCTTTTCTTCTGCTTCTTCTTTTTTTTTTTAGTTAAAAAAATCAAATAAATGATTGGTCAGCCCTCTTGGTAACATAATACAGAGCTTACTTTGCACAGTCTCTCATATTTTTGCTCTATTGAAGCCAAGCTCACTTCCAAAGCTGGAAGCTCATCCGACATTTTAAAAATACTGGTATAGACACAAGGTGAGTGTGCGTAGGATACTGTGTGCTCAGAGGGGTGTTAGGAACTTACAGGGGAAGATGGGAAAGCAGACTGATGTTTATTCCCTACTGGAATAGGGACTGGAGACGCAGGTGGAAATTGCCAAACCTAATGAGCAATTTGGCAGATAAGACAGCTGTCTGTTAGGTGGCGGCAGTTCTGTGGCAGGCAAGATGCCTGTGAACCAAGTTTGTTCCAAAGGACTACATTGAAACCACAAGCAACCCTCTCCGATCATTGCTGTCACAAAGAGGGATATTTTATCTTTTCATTGCCAATTAAGTAGCCAGCAATCAACATATGGTGGTTTAGTTTGTAAAATTATTTTTAAACTTGCCTTTTCACGTGTTTCACCTGAAAAAAATTAACAAGATGTATTTCTTCTGCGCATCAGAACACACGTCATACCAGGCCCTAAAACACACCCGTAAAGCAGAAGCACTCTCTTGCCTGGCTGGGCTGCGGCATTTCACCCGTGGTCTTGCCGTTGGGATTACTCCGAAGTAACGCATAGGCTTTCCAGTGTCCTGTGTCATTTATGTTACTCGGTCTGGAGATCCTCTCCTCCTCCCATTGAGCATGTGAAGGTTTAAACCTGTGACCACCTTTTCCTCACCAAGGCCACCAGGATGTTGTACTGCTTGAAGGACACATGGAAAAGAACTTCATAAGTTTGCCAAAAAGCTGCAAACGCTTATTGTGTACAACTCAAGATTCCGCTATTGCTTTATTTGTGGCATTTTGAAATAACTGACTTTGAAGACCAGGCATCTTTGTGTTTCTACCTGGCATCCAAGTTATCTTTATATAGAATAACATTTGGGCACTTAATTATGTCTATGTGACCCCCCCCTCCGCCACAATGCCAGGGTTCGAACCCAGGGACTCAGCGTTCATGAAGCCTTTCCCGTGCCACACTCCCAAACCCAAAGCATTTAAATGAAAAATTCGCAAATACATAAAAGGTATTTTACACTTGTAGTAACACAGTCAGTTGCCGCTAGGAGTATTGTGTTCTAGAGCTTTTCTGCCCCATTGAGTAAGGTGCAGACAGTGACCTGTAGGTGACAAGGTGCCCCGGACTTACCTGCAGAGTTGCCTGTGGGGTTTGCTGCACCAAGTGGCTCTACACCTTCGATACGTGCAGCCCCGGAGGCGGGATCAGCCAGAGGTGTCACCGGATGTTCTGGAATCGGACCCTTCTTCATTCCAGACCTGCTGAAATCATAGGCGAGAATAGTTCTGTTTGTTGGGTTTTTAAAATAAATTTTAGTTTATCCCATTTCATTCCTCACGCCTCTCCCTAGGTGAGGACAGTTTTATGCATTCACTCATTGTGCCCAAAAGATCGCCCACACTGCCTTGGTCAGCAGCTTCTCCTCCTGATTTGCTTAGGCCTGGAGCACTAGGCTTACTCACCTCCAGGTCCTGCCTCGCGCTCTTGCCTTTCCATGGAAACACCTGATACGGCCGGGGGCGTGATCCGTGCGTCTCGCCCAGGAACAGTGGTGTGTACCTGCCAGCTTGTGACAGCCATGTAGGTGTGACTTCTGAAAGTGTTAATTTGAACTTTTTTGGTACCAGGGATAGAAATCAGGACCTTGCACTTGCGAGGCAGGTGGCAGAACCACTGAGCTAAATCCCTGGCCCCTGAAAGTGTAATTTAAATCAAAGCAAGAAAGCCTGTCTACAAATGGGCCACACAAAGTACATTACCTAGAAAAATAATTAAATAAAAATGTTTGTTTCTCCGTGGTTGTACAGTGGTCAAGGAGCCAGGTTTTCTTTTCTGTTTTCGTCTTTTGCTCCATCTGAGCGTTCCGGTTCCTTTTCCTATTAGTATGTATCACAGGGAGACTCCTACTGTGGATGATTTTGTCAGCACAAAAGCCTGGCAGATAAAATCCTTTCTTCTCTTCCTGCTGTACTTGCTGTAGATCTCTTGTTTACTTCTTGAAAGTATATCTGCTTATTTATTTTCATTGCTTTTAATGTCAGGAATGGCTCTGTGCTCCTGGTTCTGTTTGCCCCGGCCTGGCGCCGGTACCTGGCTGGAGATGTGCCTCCTGCTTCAGAACTGTTGTTCCAGCCCTGATGAGAGGAGACAGAGAGGCAGCAAGGTGTGGTAAAGATGCCTTAGGTGGCCTCCTCCTCTGACTTCCGCAGACTGGAAACTAGTAGTCTCTGTGAGGGCTACATTGAAGGGGGAAAAGACCTCTAAATTTAATCTATTAGGCTATTTTGTATTTACTCAAATTGTGTATATTGTAAGTTTTTTTTTCTTTTTGAGGCAGGTTCTTGCTGTGTATAGAACTCACAGCGATCTTCCCGCCTCAGCCTCACAAGTGCTGGGACTACAGTGGTGCCACCATGCTCGGATCTAGTAATTTGTTTCTGTCATTTTGCTGCCTTTGTCTCAGCAAGTCATTTTTTCTCCCTAGCGAATAATCTTCCTGAAAACTCCATGTGGTCTGTGATTTCAGAGGTGCACTTGCGCACTGCTTTGGAAATGCTGGCCACGGCCCTCCCCGGAAACAGCTCTTTACAGTGCAGTCTTCGCGCGTCTTCCATGTCATGCTTCCTCTGGAATCCTCCCCTTCCTGACTTTTGGAAACACCTGAGCTGAAATCAAATCTAGGGTTTTCACAAGCGGTCTCGAGGAGCGTGGTGTCTCATTACCTCAGTGACAGTTTTCCCTCTTCATCTCGGAACTTGCAGTCACACTGTGTGTTTGTCCGCGCTCACTCTTCGAGCTACAGCGTTTCCCTTGCCCGACATTTCCGGTCCTGGGCACGTGGCAGCTGGTCGCTTGTTTTGAAAGGTGCACACAGCAGCCCCCAGAGCTCTGGCTGCCACACTGCGCGGGGTGTCTTTCAGTCTGCGGTAGTGCCCTGGTGTGACTCAGTGTTACATACATGTGGTGTGTACGTGTGCACACATGTTGGTGCATACATGGACATGTGCGGCTGGTGTTCAGTGACGCTGTGTGTGGTAGGGTCATAGAAATAGCATAGAGCTGCAGAAAAAGTCATTTTTAAAGATAATTTTCATGTTGAGAGATGGAAAATCACAGGGAAGCCTCGGACCAGCGGCTCTGTGGAAAAAGTGGTGACTGGAGGGCATTTCAGAGTAGGGCTGGTTATGTAACCTATCATCACTTTTAATTAAAGTGTCAGTTTGGGCCAGGGCTGATCCATTGGTTAATTTGTTATTTAAATCAGCTCGAGGAGTATTTATTTTAAATATAGAATTTGTGTTAATGAATTGGAAAAGAATATCCCATTGCTTGGCAGAGATGTTATGGCTTAAAGATTTATGACTTAGAATAAAAACCAGCTGGTGATCAGTTTGCTGAAGTTCTGTGCAAGTCTACTCTAACTTTTTGTTGTGATAGCCCTTCTTTTATGACCAGAGTGGGAAGGTCAGGAGCAGAGGTAGAGACCAAGGTCCTCGGTGCATCAGGAATCAGAGATCGGATCCAAGTGGAATTGAGTTCTGAGTGTGGGTCTTGGACGTGGTAAGGCTGGGGAGGTCCAGCTGCTGAGGAGGAGGTGAGGAAGCCAGGTGGACAGGAGACTTGGGAGCCACCATCTGACCTTGCTGCGGCAGGGAGTCACCCCCTGGCCCTCCTCTTCAAAATCGGGAATTAGCTTCATCAGAAGTAACACATAAGCGTCTGTCTCATTTGGATGTATTTCTGTGTGTGTTCGTTGTGATCTCATCTATGTATGAGATGGCACAAACCTAAAAATACATCCCCACGATGCAGCTCACTTATAAACCAGGCGCAGTGAGAGGTGAGCAGCAGTAACCAGTGCTGGGTGAAGAAGAAGTAAAACAGCACTGCAGTAACTTGAGTGAGCACGGTGTTCTTTCTGACTCTGAATCTCGTACTGCACTGGTCTTGCCATTCCTGTGTGAGATGATTCTCAGGAAGCATTTTCTGGCTTCTCCGTGGCAGACCCAAATCACCAGCCTCCCTGCCCTAGTGCTTTGAGGCCATTCATTTTTTTTTTTTTGGTACCGGGGATCGAACTCAGGTCCTTGTGCTTGCGAGGCAGGTGGTGGAACCACTGAGCTAAATCCTCCGCCCTGAGGCCATTCATTCTTAAAATCAGGGTGACTTGGAGACATGCACGCTGCTGGCACTGCAGATGAGCAGGCTGGCCTGAAAGGGACTGAGGGAGGAGCAGATCCAGCGTGGACAGAGGGACTGCTCTTGTCCAGGTGGATTGGAGTGGTTGGCACAGGATAGTCTCGTGTCACCCCCGGTGGCAGTTTACACATCATTCGCTGTTTACTTCTGGAACTTTCCAGTTCATGTTTTGGGATCATAGCTGGCTATAGCTGAGCAAGTCTGTGGAGGGCTGAACTGCAGGGCTGGGCTGGGCTGGGCTGGGCAGCAACCACGCTGGCACAGACATTCTAATACCTTCCAGTATTGCAGAAAAAGATGAGCACTTCCATCGTTGTTACTCGATTT